AAATAATATATGTATTAACTCACAATCAATGATATTTTATAAAAAAGAATATCCCATTTGTAAAATATAAGAGGCAGTTGTACAGGCAGAACAAGGGAAAACTGCATGGTTTAAAATCAGAAAAGTTGTGTTACACAGTTCTATCCTTTCACCATACTAATTCAGTTGGTATGCTGGGCAAATCATCAGAGAAGCAGGCTTATACGAAGAAGAATGTGGCATCGGGATTGGAGGAAAGCTTAGTAACAACTTATCACAAGCAAATGGCCCAACCTCCCTCACCCAAAGTGAGGAGGACCTGAAGCACTTGTTGATAAAGATCAAGGATGGCAGCCTTCAGTAGGGATTACAAATCAATTCCTCCCAACGAGACCAAAAGGTAACTTCATGATGAATAAAGACAAGGTTGAAGCTGTCAAGGATTTCATCTTGCTTGGATCCACCACCCATGCTCACAGGAGCAACAGTGAAGAGACCAAACGATGTGTTACATTAGGTGAATCTGCTGCACACGACCTCTTTACAGTATTGAAATGCAAGGATGTTACTTTGAGGTCTGAGGTGCTCCTGGCTCAGGCCAAGGTATTCTCAATGGCCTCGTGTACAAATGAAAGGTGGACATTGAATAAGGATGATCAAAGATGAACGGATTTGTTTGTAGGATGGAGCTGGAGGAGAATATTGAAAGTCCCATGGGTGACCCAAAGGCCAAGTCTATCTGTCTCGGAAGAAGTAAGACCAGAATGCTCCTTAGAAAAGATAGCAAGATCTTGTCTTACACACTTTGGACATGTTGTCAGGGACCAGTCCCTGGAGAAGGACATCATTTTGATAAAGGGGCAGCTAAAAGAGGAAGGCTCTCGAGCAGATGGATTGACCCAGTGGCTGCAACAATGGATTCAAGCTTGGGAGCAATAGTAAGAATGGTGCAGGGAGGGGCAGTGTTACCTTCTGCTGTGCATAAGGTAACTATGGGCCGGAAGTGACTTGAAGACACCTGCATCAGGCCAGGTTGACTAGAGAAACAAATCCAGGGGCAATCATACGTGCGTAAGAGCTTTATAGCAACGTAAGAGCTTTATACCAATGTGCCATTATATATACACGTATCTTTTCAGTCATATTATTGGGGGCTCGTGCAGGTCTTATCACAATACGTACATCCATCCAGCGTGTCAAGTACATGTGTTGCTATCATTTTCAAAACATTTTCTACTTGAGCCCTTGCTATCAGCTCATTTTTCCCTTCCCCACCCTCCCTCCATCATGAACCCTTGGTAATTTAGAAATTATTATTTTTAAATGTCTTACACTGACCAATGTCTTCCTACACCCATTTTTCTGCTGTCTGTCCCCCAGGGAGGGGATTATATGTAGATCATTGTGATCGGGTCCCCTTTTTCCAACATGGTGATGCTAAGTGAGCTTTGGTCTGCTAATTGCAAAGTCGGTGGTTCCAACTACTCATGCCCTCCATTTGAGAAAAAAGATGTTGCGTGCTTTTAGAAAGATTTACAAAGACTCAGACGTCCTGTACAGGGTCACTAGGTGTCAGAGATGACCCAATGGCAGCATGGCGGTTTTCCGGTTATGTGCTTGTCTGTTAATAAACAGATTTGTAGATTTGAGTGAGATTAAATGAAAAGGATGAGTTACAGTGGGGAGAGGTAAATTGATTTGTCAGGCACCCAATGGGGCACATCATTTGTTACTAGTTTATTTCCATTTCACAGTGCTGCTTCTCAATTTTCATCAAATATTAGACGCTGAGCCACTGAACATTCAGAGTATTCTTCAGGACCATCAAAACATTAAGCAAAAACAAACAAACAAAATGTGGACAAGAAATCTGGACCAACACCTGACGTGGAGAAAGGGCCATGGAGACTGGTGTAGTTTCCTCCAGTCTTATGGGAATCAACTTAGACCTCAAATGATTGATTAGGATTGCTTTGAAAATCAAATCTATTCTGCTCATGACAAGACAGCCTTGGTATCGATACTCTAGCCGGATCCACTAGGCTTTAGTTCTTTAGGATGGTTTTTAGTTTGCTTGACAGCTGGGCAAACTTTAACGTGTTCATGACTACAGTCTGTCTTCGGTAGAAGTTTTATGAAAAAGGAAATCCTATAAATAGTAAAAAGAGGGAAACAGTAAGGGCTCCCTTGCTTGAAGCATATGGGTGTCAATACATTTGTCAACCAGGTGAGGTTACGCTGCCTATTTAAGGGCGAAAATAAAAGTAGCCACAGGTAACAAAACTGTTATCTAATAAGTGTTTACTTCCAAGTTGGGATGCCTGAATGACTGTAACCAGAGCTAATTGTCAAGTTGCTGCCCTCAGTCATCAGTGCCTTCTCTTGCCATAGCAGATCTCCTCGGATGACGCCAGCCCTCACGGTCTCCTGCCCGAGGTTCTGGGCTAACACTGCCAGCAACAGTAATGCTGCAACCATCAGCCCTCTGGGACATTAGCATTCCCGAGAGAATATGAAACATCCCTCAACTTATTTTTTGCAGGAAATACTGGAAGTATTGGGCTATCAAATTCCACAACTGGTTAGGGGGTTTTACATTCGGGTGTATGGAAGCATCACCGATTCAGCATCACTGAATCTCCGGGTTAGAAAACAGAATTACCCTACAGCCTCTTAAAGCACTTTAAAAGGAGAAGACATCATTTGAGGATAACACAGTCTTTGCATTAAAGGTGGACCCGAAGCCTTATTTGATGACCTCACAGTTCTGGGAGTTGCCGGGAAAGACAAGCTTTGATACCATTTGTCAGTGAAATATACACAGGTGCTGACATTTCTTAAGATGCTGCTAGCCCAAACCAGAAGTGGCTACTGGGTAGGTGAGGACAGAAATCTTGTCTCCTACGTGCACACTTGTCATGAGGGTGCATCCCCCAACTTTGAAGAGGATTTGAATTTCACAGCGAATCGTTTTTACCAGTGACTTGAACAGAACATAATGCAAGTCACTGGCTCATGCAGTCAATAAATGAAAACAAAGGGCCTAAGTGGGAAGGGGGGGGGCGTCAATTTTCCTGAAGAGGGGGGAAGAAAAACCTAGTTGGTGTATCTTTGAGTTGAGTTTGCATTTGGGTGGGGAACAGAGGAAGGGCGTTTTCATGAAGGCTTTGGGTCGGAATCGCTTCAGACAGTGCCTTGCCCACCCTGCCCCCCAAATCAAAACCCCTGTGGCAGAGACAGAGCCAGGATACAACCCAGCCTCCTGGCCTACCCAGCCCCCCACTTTAACCCTGCGGGTGGCTGCAGTGCAATCGCCCGCGCTTCCCAAGACTCCCTAGGAAGCAGCTACTGCCCATTCCAGGGGACCCAATGCAGCAGCGGGGGCAGAAGGAAAGCCCCTGCGGGGGCTGCGTGCAGCCTGGTCCAGATCAGGACGCGCACGTTGCCACCGCTCCCAGGTGCACCTGCACGGGGAGACCCTGGGGCCGGAGAGGGTCCCCCTGCGTCCCTGAAGCCATCAGCTTGCAGGGTCTCCAGGAGCCGTACCTGTGGCGGGAGGTGAGAAGCCAGCCAAGTCAGGGCCTCCTGGCCCACTGCTGCAGCACCAGGCACCGGGAGCATTTCCGGGTCACCGGGGTCGTGGGGCGGGGCCGGCAGGTCCCGGAAGGCGGAAGTGCACGGAGGCGACGGGCGGCCTGGGGGCCGTGTGGGGCCTCGGCGCGGACCTGGCTCTCCCGTGCGCGCGCGCAGGTTGTCCGGTAACGGGGTCGTTCCCGGGGTCGTGGGGCGCGGCGGGAGGAGGCCGGTCACCGGGTGCTCGGCGGGGCGCCAGCGCAGCCCACGCGGCCTCCCGGCGCC